GGTGAACTTAGTCATGACCCTTCAATACAGAATTTCAAGCCAAATAAGCTTTGGAACTTTATTTTTGAATAGAAGATATTGTTCCGTCAATAGCGTAAAGCTTGAAAAATGTGATGGAAGCACTCTCAGTACAGGCCTAGACTATTTGAAATTTCTGGCAATCTTCTTATAAAAATCAATGTTTCTTGATGTGATCATCATATACCTTTTTTGCATTCATATTACAGGAGATAAAGCAAAAGACAAAGGATATTTTTCAACTAGGGAAAATGTTCTCAAGTGATGGAAAATTTGCTTTTATGCGAGTAAATGAGAGGAAAAAAAAAATTTAAGTTTCTGATTTGTCTGCCGAAAGTGAGCCTCATAATCAAAATTCATTTAAAATTTTAAAAATTTGAATTTCAAAATTGTAACATTGTATATGGGTCATAGAAACTGATAAGTGACCAAATTTTCCACCTAATCACTCTATTCGATTCAGAATAAATTGGCTATTTCAGACAAGACAAACAGGTGACCTTATAGGATTCCATTTCTTTTCATTCAATAGTACGGAACCTTAAAAATAAACCTCAGTTAAAAGTACCTAGGTAAGCAAGTAGGTACTTGAATATAGTAGACTTCACCGTCAGTTATCAGTAGGTAAATGACATCTTTTTAATGCTAATGGGTTTGTGATACAACCATGCCCCATGTACTATAAAGTAAAAGTGAAAATAAAGCTTTAATCATAATTTTGTTAATACTTTTTCTGTTTGTTTTTATGAAGTTTTTCATAATATGACGTGCAACATCTGATATGTCACCTGCCATCTGTCAGACAGCCATCTTGAGCACCCGGTACGCTCATAGGTTAAATCAAATAGCGTGCGCTTCTCCAGCTGTTACACACTTCCACTCCTTTTCACGCAATTACTCCCATTGATTGTGTGAAATGTTACACATTAAAAGCAATCAGAAATTCACATGCAACTTACTGCAATGATACCAAGCATGACTATTACAATATTTGTGTCGATATTATCAATAACTTGAGCCTACAATTTAATTGCAATATTATTTTAGATTCCATTGTTACAACGCTAATGGAGAATACATTCACTTTGGGAGAAAAGAAGTGTTAAGGACATCGGAACCAACTGTGTGCTAAATAAAATTTATATTAACACGAACTTGTACCAAGTAACAGCATTGCTGAAAAGTTTACTTCTAAATGACTAAAAACACGTAATATTATAGATTAATTACATCTTGTCATTTACACAGCTATTTGTCATTGGTGGGAATTGAAGCCACAGCCACTAACCAAGACAGACCAAGAGGCCTGTAGTTATGTCACTACACTAATTTAAATTACTAAAGACCGTGACCGATGAGACATGGTCATGTCTGTCATATCAAGTCGCGTCCATTTACAAGCATGTCTTGTCTTGCTATAGAAACAACGATCCAGCTTATGATATCAGTACACGAAAACGGAGTTCTGATGTAACGTGTGTTTTTTTAAAGTCAGTTAAAACCAGTCCGTCATCCATGTTAAAGATTTCGAGTTTAGGATTTATATTCCGAAAATATATGCGCAAAAGAGTCAAACAACGTTCTTCATGAAGTTTTATTTATTTAAAACACACAGAAAACATCCATTAGACAATAATTGTTTACAAATTGACACATTTTATAATAACAATAATTTCAGTATACAATTTCTCAATTTTGGTCAATAATCTTGATTATATATAACATATTTATTTTATAAAAATTAAGCCAAACGATCACAATAATTGCGAAATGTGTTATGCAATTTGTTCACAGAATAGAGTTGATATTATATGTATATGACTAGAATAATTGTTAATACTTATAATAATCACGATATATTATGATTTTATCAACCTTACAATTTAGGAATATACTTTATATTATACTTCAATAATAATATGACACTACATACAACACTGTTTAGAAAATAATTGCCAATTTCTGCGAAGTACAACTAACCTATGAATTAGTAAAAAAAAAATAACTTAGCTGATTGGGTCTATTGCTAGATTTTTTAAAACCCCTCTGGCAAGCTTTATAATAAAAATGAAAATCACAGAAACCTTTAGATCGACTTCAACAATAAAATAAAATTGTACAATTTTATTGTTTTTTTTTTAGTGAAGAAAGGCTTTTAGTACCTTGCCTCTGTCAAGATACAAAGCATGATTTAAATTCGAAACCAACATAAAGTTTTTAAACCTACACGTATAAGTTTATGTATGTTCTAAATATAGGAGAAAATATTCGAGATCAAATATAATATTAGTATTTTTTAAATGTTCAATTCCTTAAATTAAAAAAAGTAATAAAAAAACTTTGGATATAACATTTCATGCACTAACTTACATTACCTATGATTACTTAAATAAAATTAGTAAATATCATAAGATTTATATTAAGTCGTATATTGATTCAGAATATTATAAATTCATAGTTTGTGCTTGGTAGACAATACGCTTAGCGTGTCGGAGCGAACTGCCCGACGACGCACCGAAACCGCACCTACACCGCACCGATGCACAATGCTCTACTACCGTCATGATTTATGTTAAACTGTGTTATTGTTATCCTTCATATTAGAAAATTTTGAGTTTAAGAAGCATTAAGAAGTTTAGTGAAGGACAGATAAATTTTATGATATAAAACTCGAAATTGGTTAAAAACAAACACAAAACTTTAAAGGCTTGAACGGTCAACGTTAAAAAAATTAGTTTTATAGCAAAAAAAACGGTAGCGGTGCGGTAAAGGCGGCGACGACAGTGCGTTTGCGTCTAGACCACGACTTGATGGTTAGACGATGCGGGGTTTGTGCTACTGCGGAGTCGTCTACATAAGCCGTCAAAGTTTGTGTGCGCTTTTTAAGAGACTCTGATCTTCTTTTTTCGTGAGCATGGCAAGCTATGTAGAACGAAAGAAAAATCGGCTCACTTTTATAGTCGGATAAAAATGTGAAGTTTATATACAGATCCAACAGACAAGTGTAAGTTCAAAACAAAAGAAAACAAGTGATCGTCAAGTACAAATCAATACGTATCGGTATCTTTTAATACAGATAGACTACCCTCACTTTACCCTCTATGCTTATACTTATAAACGAGCAATAAGTTGTATGCTTTAATGACCCTGCCATGACCCAGCTTATACCGATTCATATTGACTTGCCAAGCCTTAACCTCTTTTTTATGCAAGAAGTTTTAAAGTGCTTATGGTTATACTCTGTCCATTTAATATTTTTCATTTAACACTTCGATATGCCATAAAATTGCTGCCGAATCCAACGTTTAATAAGAGTATATGAATTGATTATGAATGACTCAATTGAGAAATCTAGAATGTTACATTTTTTATTTGCTCATTTATCAAAATTTAAATTGTATTTCAGTTCTTTTGAAACCATTGATTTCAAATATAAATATGTTAATATATTTATAACTATTTATTGTTATAATCTGTAATTGTAAGTTGGTCAATCAATAACAACTTTTCAATACATTGAGTACAATAGAACGTTTCTCAATTCGTTAATTAACGAATTAATTAATTCTTTCTCGAATTCATTAATTTAAAAAAATTGAATGCACACAATATCTATCTATCTATAATGACTCCTAAAAAAGTACTTATAATGAAATTAAAATTAGCGATGCACAATAATACCGCATTTTAAAGTTTATATTACAAACGCGGCCATATTTTCGTTCTCAAGCAACTGTCAAAAATAACTCAAATGGACAGAGTACAGTGATTTGAGTTCATCATGTATTGGTGTCTCAAACAAAATGATAATCATAATGAATAAATAATCGATTTTAATCAATTCTCACTACGTAAATACAGAACGTTGGCTCTGGCTAAGTGTCATCGGCACTTTGTATTATTTATGACATACTGACTTGTACAGACCCCGCTCTGAACGCACATGAGATAGTTAGGTAAGGGAGTTAACAAAAATAATAAATTAACGTACAAGATATATTATAGGATATTTTGAAAAGCGAAGCCAAGAAATGTTAGCTAAAGAGTTCTTAATTAATTATCAATATTGATGCTTAAAAAAAAAGAGAAGACCATAGCTCTTATGTCAATGTGCGTAGTATCCTTGTCTAAAAAAAATTAAATTTCGACCAAACGTATACTACACGCTTAACTTGTAGCGTTATAGGACGGCGTCCATTTTTTTCCTTACAGTATGACGAAAGGTTTTATATATGAGAATCAGCTTAACCTATATCGATCTATATATGTCATATCAAAACGAGCGATAAAGTGAAAAAGCACACGTTTCAAGGGCGGATAAACACGAGACATACATAAGACAATAAACTACAGTTAGGCATCCATTTTATAGTCAACTAACTTCAACTTTTAGTTCAGTTTGCTATTATGGCGTGTTTTATTTTAGTTTCACTAAATTATAAGCAAAATATAAATATTCCTAATAAAAATTAAACTTAGTACATGAAATAAATTAAATGACTAAATCAAATACCTAATAATATTTTTTTCAAATGTAACAGATAAGACAATTAAGAAATTTAAAAACTGAAGTCAATCTCCCAATCCTATAATTTTTTGTATATCCTGTTGCCTGTCTCATTCATTCACTCGTGCCGAGCCGTTCTCAAGTTATTCACATACACACATACATTCGGCTATAATTTTTTAAATACATTTAGTTAAATGAATCTCAATCTGGCGAACTCCCCATAATATAAGAGCATATAGGAATAATTTTGATCTACGAATCTATATAAAATGGAATGTTACAGCAACCAGCCCCGTGAACTAGAAAATAAATCAGTCTCATCATAAGTAGACCCTTTGGGAGTGAATAATTTTGGTTCCAAATATTTTTGTGGGATATTCACAAAATATTTATCAAATGTATAGGTATAGTAAATACTTTAGGGTTTAGATAAGATAGTAGTGTATAAATATAAAATCACAGATTAATTAGTTTAGCATAAACAAATTGTCCTTTCTTCTTTTATTTGTAACCTCTGAAGGGACTGTCGACGCCTACCTGAAGCGCACAGCATCGCGTATTCGACTGATGTTTCCATTCTGCAAAAAAAATACACCATGAATGCAACATATTTGACTGCTGTGCTGAGGTCTCGTGGTCGATTCCCGGGTTTGACGAAATAGTCGTATGATCTGCAAATATTTGTTTGCGGAGTTTGGGTGTTTTCTACGTATAATATGTATGTATTTACAAAAAAAAAGTATGTAAGTATTGTATCAGTCAAATAGAATACTTATATACTTAACTTTTCTGGGAATCGAACCCCAGAGCACAGCAGTCGCATACACTACTACTACACCATCGAGGCAGTCATAATAGCAACGGAATAAAAAGACCGGAAGTTGAAGACCGGTTTTCTGTGAGGCCGTAGTATCTGTCCGGTCGAGCCTTGCCCATTTGGGCCGAATATCTATAATAAAGAAATCTTTAACAAAATAAGGCTACCTGTGCATAATTCTATCAAGTAAAATTTCAATGGCACGATCAATGTTCTGGCCTGATTTGGCACTGGTCTCTAAGTATGGCAAGTTATAGTTTTTGGCAAATTCTCTGGCACGGTTCTGGTTCACCAGTCTCTTCTCTTGTAGGTCACATTTGTGGCCACATAGAACTATGTCCGGATCATCGCTCAAGCTATGAGTCTGAAATCAGCATAATTATCCACATTAGCTAAGAGTTTATTAAAAATATATACATTTATTTAACAATTTTGTTTGTGTCTGGGTGGCTGGAGTTTACAAAATTATTTGGGTGGAAATCAAACCCCATGTCCTTGCCTCAGTAGTCAGTATTACCAACCACTAAACCACCATACCTTTTACTTTTTATACTGTTTAAAACAAAAATTAAAGAGTAAATAATAATAATAAGACATTACTCCTAATTTCATTTGTTTTTTCTGCTTCCGACAGGCCTGATGGTCTAGTGGTTAGTGCCCTGACTGCTAAGCCGGAGATCGTCGGTTCGTTTCCTACCCAGGACAAATATTGTGTGATGAGCACGGTCATTTGTCCTGTGTCTGGGTGTAATTTATCCATACTATGTACGTATTTAAAAATATATTAGTATGTTTGTCTGCAGTATGGTTACCACAGTACAGGCTCTGTTTGGGATCAATCGGCCGTGTGTGAGATATTATTATTATTGGTTACATAAATCTACACAGTTTTTTTTTAATAGGTAAATTTTTTTAAGAAAACAAAGGAGACATTAATACTTTGGTAGAAATTATGTTTTTGCAAAAACAACACAAAATTGGTTAAAAGCAAGTTGACATTTTAAAATACATCTTAATAAATTTCTTGAAAAAAGAATAATCGGTATTATATAAGGCAGAGAAAATAATATATATGTAATTATTAATAAACTACTATTAATAACTATAAATCCTTGTGGTGATGGATTAAGAATACGGAATGTCACCACCCCTATTCATCCCGTGGGCGTCGTAAAAGACGACTAAGGGCGTAAAACAACGCAGGACACGAGCACTGCAAAAAGAAGGAAAACTTGACACAAACCCTTTTTTTTTTTTTTTTTTAACGTGTGGAAATCCCCTCGGACCGTCACCCCTCCGGGGTTTGCGGCGGGGTGGTGTGTCGGACTCGGACCGACTAAAACCACACGGTGTGCCACTCTGCGCCTGTAACAGGAGGGATCCGGGAACAGCTGTTGTTAAGACATCCGGACCCCTCCTAGCGCCAGCCCGCTCCTGGTGCGGGCTCCGTCTCAATGTTTTTGTTCCTCTCTTTAGGCGACGTCCGGCACACGCGGACGCCGCCCCCTCGCGGCTGGCCAAACTAATGCGGGTGGAGGGGAAACCCACCCCGTTCACCCGCGGCCACACTCAGGGCGGCATGAGGCTGTGGTAGGCGGGCCTCCGCCGCCCGGTTCGCCGGCGGCGGATCGGGTCCGAGTGGAGGTCGTCCTCCCGGGCCCTCTCCGCCGCCTCCTTCCGCGAGATTACTACCTCGCAGAAGGTTGCGACCGCGGTAAAACAACTGTCGCTACCGGCCATGGAGCGTACTACGGCCGGTAGCGAGAGATCCACTCCGATGACTGCAGTGAGGGCCCGGCGCTGCGCCGCCCATGCGGGGCAGACCGCCAGCGTGTGCTGGGCCGAGTCCTCACTGCAGTCGCAGTGGTGGCAGGCGGGACTCAGTTCCCTCCTAGCGACCGAGTGCAGGTACTTTCCGAAGCAACCGTGCCCGGAAAGCACCTGCGTCAGCCGGAAGGAAAGGGTCCCGTGCTGCCGCCCTGCCCACTCGGCGATGACCGGCTGGAGAGCCTCCACGGCGGCGAAGCCAGCGCGTGGAGTCTCCAGCCGGAACGACCAACGAGCCATCGTGGCTCGGCGAGCGGCTTCGCGCCACTCGCGCACATCCTCGGGCGGAGGGCGAAATCCGCTCTCCGCCCGGTAGTCAGCCACTCGCCGATAAACTTCGGCGAGCACTTCCGCCTCCAAATCCCACGGGGGAGTTCCGGCCAACGCGCACGCTACCTCCGTCGAAACGGTGCGGTAACCGCGTATGGCTCTGACCGCCATTACCCTCTGAGGGCGCCAGAGGCGTACCCTATTCTGGGCGGTCAGAGCCGCCGCCAACACCGGTGCACCGTACAGTGCCATTGACCGGACAACCCCCGTGTACAGCCGTCTTGTCGCGACGCTGGGTCCACCCATATTGGGCAAAAGTCGCCCTAGGGCAGACGCAGCGCCGACCAGATTTGGAGCAAGCTGTCGGAAGTGCTCGTCGAAGAGCCACCTCCCGTCGAGGATCAGGCCCAGATATTTCATCTGGGCCCGAACCGGTACGAGGACCGAGTTGACCACTATTGAGGCGCCAGGGGGTGGACCACGACGGGGCCCATGAAATAACAGGGCCTCCGTCTTATCTAGGGCCACCCGTAAGCCCAGCGCCTCAATGCGCCCGACCACCAGGGAGACTCCCCCTGTGGCCCGGCGCGCCGCCTCTTGGACACAAACCCTATACCAACCCGTCTGGCCAGCGTGGTATAGTAGGCCAAAACCTCCTTTCTAAGGAGAGGTCTATGTCCAGCAGTGGACTATTAAAGGCTGTTGATGATGATGATGATGATTAATAAACTATGTATATACTACAATAATTTATTTACCTTGAGCTGTTCAATCCAATTCCTGACTTCAAGGAAAGATGCTTCATTTGTCAAGTCAAAGAGTAAAAGAAATCCCATTGCATCTCTGTAGAAAGCTGTAGTCAAGCTCCGGAATCTATGAAATAAAAATATTTTAGGAAATTTGGAATAAAAATAACTTGCACAGATTATTATTTCAGACACAATCAATTACTTATGTTTAGTGTTGTGTTTATCAAAATTACTATGATAATAAATTTGCAAGTGATTCGATTTGGTGAATTAGAATTTTGGTTATTCTCGAGAGCATGTTAGTTAGTTGCATAGTAACGTGTATTCGTTGTTAAGTGTTTCGTATTAGTAAACTTACGTGGACGTGGTATTTGGTGTAACACATTCAGGTAACACAACCTGCTAAGAGCTAGTATAAAAGTGTAGTGTTCTAACTTAAATCGGTTGATAAAAATTACCTATCTGGTCAGAAAATAGCGATATTCTTACTGTGGTACTATGAATGCTAGATTGACTGATAGAATACTTATATACTTTTGTAAATACAAATACTTATTATAGATAGAAAACACTTAAACTACGAAACAAATATTAGCAGATCGTACAAACACTTTTGTCCAAACCAGGAATCGAACCCGAGACCTCAGCACAGTAGTCGCATTTGTTACCACCACTGCACCACTTAAGCAGTAAATTATGCAACTGTAAAAAAATGTACCTTCCTGCACAGCACAAATGTTTTTAATAAGTTAATAGCAATAATGTTGGTAGGTTTAAAATAATATTATATTTGTTTATATTCTAGTACACACCTCTCTTGCCCAGCTGTATCCCAAAGCTGTAAATGAATGCGCTGCTGCCGCCCATTCTGTTGGTAAATCTGAAAAACACAAAGGTTTTTTGTTTTAAATAATAATAATAATAATAACTAAGGAAATGGACAGAAACAGTGGGACAGATATACATACGTACATACTGAAATACACATACATATATACTTGCTGAGTTACTTACATACATATATACACAAATAATATTTATATGATCCCCGATTGGTCACCTGCCTTATTAAAATTTTACCTCACTGCCTTTCAATTAACTCTCCCCGGTCAAAGCAACCTAGTAAGGTGGGGAAAAGCTACAGAAAAAAGCTTATACGATGTGCAGTGCGGAAATAGGTACAGCGAAGCACTTACTGACAAGGCGCTATTAGACCGAAGTCATTATTTACGTCGCCATGATAGAGTATTACAAATCTTACGATAAGTTTATCACTGGCGAGAGCGAAAAAAGGATTAAAAACAAACATAAGAACTAACATCGAGTTTGTAAAGGTAAGCTCAACAAAACAGACTTCACAAAAGCCGTACTCAAATTTAAATACCGCAAGGCGCCAGTGACTGGACATTATTAATAGACACGTATGAAAATCATTACAGAATACCGGCAGATATCTGTGCCCTCTGCGTCCGGACCAAACATTATTTCTTTATGCAATATCAATTAAGAGTGTAGTTCACTCGGAACTCACGGTACCGTGGAAACGAACATCCCTAAAGAACACGCTTTAAAAAGAAACAAATATTTTGACTTAACCAACGAAATAACTAAAAATCCTGACAAATGCCAGTCGAGTGTTCCGTACAGTGTGTAGATATATAATATAAATAGTTTTTTCCGAAATTCAGTTTCAAAATCCATAATTAATTGATTACGTGCTTTCTAGATGATGTGACTAAATTTTTTAGTATTTAATCACAAATGTGTAGTTACTAGATTTTTCCCAGTACTTGTAGTATAAGACGGTGTTACTTGCCAATTTTTATAGTTCTGGATCTACGGGAAACACGAATTTTGATTCCCTTGAGTGTGCCGAAATATACGTTTCAATTTAGAAGTTTAATTTTTCAGTTTCAAGGTACGGCAGACCTGAGTATATGGTTTTAATTTAAACTCGATACCTCCACGTGTTACCTAGATGACTTGACAGACAGACGTACAACAAAGTGAAACCATAAGAATTCCTTTTTTTTCTTTTGAGGTACGGAACCTTAATAATTTCTTTCCTTTGTATGCCGTGAAAATGGGAGCGAGGAGTATACCAGCTAAATCCCTCTATTACCTGCATAAAGACCTTGGATTGTCAAGAGCTTCAGTAAGCTCGTTTCTTGAACAAATATCCAAAACGGTATTGATAGGCTCATATCAAATATGATTAGGTAGAGGCGGTAACACCACAGACAGTGGAGGTGAACGCTGACCCATCGCAAGGAGTACTCCCTATGCCTACTCCTGAGTCGCAATTCCCAGCCGATGTCGCAGTCGCATGTGTTGCCCTCAACTATCACGCGATGGACCCGGCACCAGCACGGTGAATTCAATGAACGCTAAGAAATAAGTCTAAAACTTTATGGATGTGATGAATCTGCTAAAGTGTCTAAAATGCGAGCTCGGACTTTCATCTTAAATGAGGCGGCCGGATGCGTTCGTAGTTTTGAGAGTTTTGTTCCAGGAGGAGGACAGATTAGATTAGGAACGAAGAGTAGACACACGCAGTAGTATGAGTGGGCATAACAGGAGTGGATTGTTTGAGGAACGGAGGGTTTTATTGTGATTGCAACATAGAAATTGGAATGAGAATGTCAGGTATTAAGGGGAAATAGGTGAGTTGAGAATGGATTAGCTGACGGCGCTGTCAAATCGTGAGCCAGCTCAAAACGCTACGAAAGGAGGAAACATGGTCGTATTTGTGAAGGTTAAAGACGAATCGACTGCAATTATTCAGAAAGTGATCATATTTATTGAGGTAATTTATTGAGGTGACTGCACAAATAGCGTTGAGGTTTAAGCGGTCGTCAAGCCGCTTACTACTACACTGAGTGGTGTGGGTCCAATTGCCACATGGGACGACACTTTGTGTGATCCACAAATCATTGTCCTGATTCTGGGTGTTCTTTGTGTCCGTTTCGTGTATCTTTGTAAAGTCCCCTGTGACACAGGATATATTCCTAATGCGGGAGTTGTCTTTAAAAAAAACTGCATTCAGGTCATAATAGCATACATCACCATAATCAGGAAAAAGGGACAATAAGGGTCTGAACTAGTGTTGCTTTTGTCTCGGAAGAAAGAAAGAAAGACCTGTATTTGCCTCGGGTTCTTAACAGAATGACTGAAGGGAATGAATGAATGCGAATTACCAAGCCACCATCATATGACTGGAAGGATAGACCAAGATAAACTGCCAGCCATTACTTTTAATGGTATGCCATTAAAAGTAATTCGCAATTAGCTGGATTTGCAGCAAAAAAATACCTTTTATTTATATTTATAGGAATGATTACTTAGTTATAAATGAAAATAAATTTTAATAAGTACCTAAATAAGGTAGTAATTATCTAAACTAATAAAGAACCATGCTCACCCGAATTTTACATTCAAAAATCAAATAGCTAGTAATTCCTACTAATATTCTAAATGAGAAAGTAACTCTGTTAGCCTTTCACAGCTAAACTCCTAAACCGATTTTAATTAAATTTGGCATGGAGATACTCTAATTCTTGAGGAAGGACATATGCAACTTTTTATTACGATAACAGACTTACATGCGGGCGGAGCCACGGGCAAGAGTTAGTAAATGATATTAATCCCAGCTTCTAACTTACCACACTTTTTTCTCGGAAGTCTATACCGACAGTAGAAATAAACTGTGTATGAAAAACTCCGTCTGTATATTTATATAAAAAACTGGTCTTCCCAACGCCTGAATCGCCCACACAAAGAAGTTTTATCAAGTAGTCGTAATCCATATTGATCAAGTTAGTGCATTTAATATCGACAAACATGCATCGGCCGTTAACTTAATACATTCAGGGTAACTTGCACGGTTATTTCTTGTATTTAATTGATTGTATACTTTCTTATCTTGTTATCAGATAACACTAAACTAAAAAATGTCAACAATCGATCGCCAATGATTCTACAAACGTCGTTGTCAACTGTCAAAAAAAAACTATTTGTCTATGAATGTCTAAATGTCAATTTTATCACAAGATATGAAATTCTTAATGACTAAATTTAAATGTAAATCTTTTAAACAGAACAATATATACAATAAATAGAATTGTTTTTAGACTTAGTTTCAAAGTCACGTAGTTACTTAATGTCCTTTACAATAGTATTGCGACTCTTTAAATTCAATTGTGTACCTATACGAAAAATCGATAAAATGAATGAATTTTCAAACTTATTAATAGCCTGACGTTTTCAATCCAGACATCTTTTAGTTGCAGGTATTTTTTTTATAATTTTTCACAATACGCGTCAGTCAAGTCTTTGCCTATGAAGTCAGCTGCAAACCGAATGTTGCACAGGTACACTCGCAAACAAACTTACTGAGCATTAAAATACATTTTTTTTACTATTTACGTGAGTTATAAATTAAATATTTAATTTCTATCAATATAATAAATGTTGTGTCCTAGTTTAGGACAAATTCGGAACAGAAATTGTACCGTTCTGTTGAAATTGCAACAGGTGATGGCAATTGAATTTCTCTGATAACGAATGAACGCTGATAACATATTAAAAAAAATATTGGACATTGTGGAAAGTTGAAAATTACTTGCACCTTGCATATTAATATGTGATGAGTATTATAAAAGAATAACTGCAACCATTTTACAACGCACTGAACTTTCTCAATATCTGATTCCTTTTCTATACTCGTTACGTTTAAAAAAAAATGACATTAAGGGCAAAAACATTCCTGCGAACTGTTTTTTTGTTATATGTAAGTGTTGACTACCATAAAGTTAGGTGTAACTTTTTTACCTGTTATAATATTCCCATTGTTGACACTCAAATGTTCCTGAAACTAGACCTTGTGTTATTTATTTGTCTTAACATAAGTGTATATTTACTAGTAAAACCTAAGATATAATATACGGACTTTTACGGTAACATACATAAATCAGTAAAACTATAATCGATTTATAAATACAAAGAAAAGATTTCGAAATCTCTTCAGAATCGAATATTGTAGTAATCGATTCCTTTGACTTCTCCCTCCTTAATCTTTCAGAAACTCAGAAGAACTGTCAAACGGTACCTCTTCTCTGTAGAAGTGTAGGTGTAGATGAACTATAACTTGGTGAATGTTGTTGATCCTTAGAACGATTCTATTAATAAATATTTTAATATTAGGTATCAAGGTTAAATGAATATTCACTACACCTAATTTTTATTGCGAAAATTAAACTATAAATGAACTGATAATATGAAATGATAAATATGACGATTAATGATGATGTACAACCACAACCGTCAAATAATCCTCGAGTGAATGTTGAGTACTGGTATGATTTACTTTTATTTAGATACTTTAGTGATTATATTATAAAATACAGAGATGCACAACAAAGTAATATTATGAATCTTTATACAAATATATTTCTAGTAATAATAATAAATATAGTAACTATAGTAAATATATGAAAAGACATTTGTTTTACAATTTTTTACAACTTTTACTGAAGAGCCTAGCAAGCAGATCTGCAAGCATCATAGTATCATTCAATTCAGCAAAATACGGAACCTTTTCAGTATATTGCTGAATTTAATGATACTGAACCTTTTCAGTATATTGCTGAATTGAATGATACTGAACCTTTTCAGTATATTGCTGAATTGAATGATAGTGTAATGCTAGCAGATCTGCTTGCTAGGATTTTTAAAGAGGCCCTTGCCTCTTTAAAAAAAACAAAATTCTTTAAAAGCACCCTTAATGTGTATGAAAGGTTTAATTAATGTAGAAGAGGCGCAAGATGTGTCCAGTTTGTGGCAAAAGGTATCTGCCTATAGATAGAACAGGACAGATTTTAAATTTCTGTTTGAAATGTGACTTGATTAATATTCATAAATAGTAATTTCTTTTTAAAATTATTTTACTGCTTTTCTGAGTAATTTAAATTAATTTTTGTAATTTACTTCTTCCAGTGGTGCTTGTGACTACAGTGGGTATTGCTTAGCTCTTGGACAAATTGTTAGAAAATCAACTCCTGATGCAGTAGTATTTTGTAAGCGTGGTAGACAAGGTATTGTTTTATTTTAAGTAGCAATTGAAACTTCACCTCCTACACACTAGCAATTTTTTTTACTTATTACTTGCCTACTACAATCTAAAATTAAAATAAAATAAATCTTTTTGGACATCTGACACACAACACTAAATCTAGTTTCAAACTAAGCAAAGCTTGTACAGTGAAAGCTAGATTGACTGATAGAATACTTATAGGTATATTTTTTTGTAAACATACATATTATGCATAGAAAACACCCAAACTCCGAAACAAACATTTACAGATCACAAACATTTGTTCCGACCCGGGAATCGAACCCAAGACCTCAGCACAGCAGTCGCATACACTACCACTGTGCTACTGTGGCACTCAAATATTCACATATAAAAATTTGACAAAATTCAGTCATGCTGAGCCATCTAGAAATCACAGAAGAATATTGTCAACATTCAGTTGGATCATAAATGGTCTTAATACAGTCTTATCTAATTTTAAAATTTTTGCATTGATGTCAGTCAAGCCTTTTCAAATTCAAATTTCAAGTCAGTGTTTACAAAAAAACAATTAAATATCACATGTAAATGTTTTTACAGTCAAGGGCCTCAACTTTGCTTTAATCATTCATTCATGCAGTCTCTGACAGTTCTAGCCTTTGTTATTATTGCCGTTACTCCTAGTATACCTTTTCAGAGTATGGGTGATAAGTGTTTTAGTATCTCCATACTTCTTTTTTTATACACACTGTAAAACTCACATAATCAGTACTATAAAGAAACCCCATGAGAAGAAGATACTGATTCTCTGTCAGTGTCATAGAGAGGGTAGTTTTTTTTTTAACTCAATACATTTTCTTTTACAGGTTCTTTTGAAGTTGTGGTCAATGATAAATTAGTGTATTCAAAATTGCAGACTATGGCTCTCCCAGATTTTAATGAAGTAGCTCAAGTCGTAAACAATGTGTCTAAAGGTGAGGAGCCCACACTAATAAAAGGACAACAACCAATCAACTGTGTTATATCATAATTTATTAATAAATCTCAAGCTTAACAATGTAGTAATTACTAGTCATAAAATATAGTATTAAATATTTATTGTATATAAAAATATATCTTTGATTTTATTTCACAACATCACATTTTTCCATATCCTCTAATCATATTAGAAAAAAATATATAAAAATAGTGTGTATATAATATACTATGTAACTATTTATGACGAAAACAATTAAATTATACCCAAATAAAAAAATGTTTAGTAGCAACTCTCATATTTAAATACCAATAATAAAAATAGTTATTAAGTTACAAGTTTGGCTACTTTTTGACAGTTCAAAATTTTTAAATAATGTTAGTCTTTCAATTTTATGTATTTAAATATAGGATCTATCAATATCATAGAATGACATCTTAAATATAAAGGCAGTTCTTATGCTAATGCCTGAATCCATATTATAGTTTGAATAATATTCATCGGAGTCATTATTATGCCACCCTTGTACAAATGTTTCCCAACTCTTATTTTTCTATATTGGTTTTTAACTACTAGAAACGTGTACCAGATTATTACTTACTTTCGAATAATTATATTATTTACTACCTTATTATATGCCATACACCTACAATTTCTTCACTGTGAGATTCACAAGTACAAGTTTATAGAACTACTTTCGTTTTAAGGAAATAGAAAATTGAATAACAGTCTTATATAATATGAAGCCTCAATATAGCACAATAAATATAGTAATTAGTTATAAAAAAATGTCAGTTAACGATAGGAAGAGCAGAAGTCCTGAATCCAACATATTAACTCATACTTTCTACTAGAGGAATATTAATAGAGGTAATAAAACTTAGCTGCGCTTGTTTCACGAAATATTTGTGCAGATATTATGCGAAATATTTTATATAATACGTAATATCTCTATTACTTATGCATGACTGACTCTGTGAGGAGTTATTTAATACAGGCTCCATACACCTGAGTGCAGTTCGTAGAGGCCACAAACTCCGCTCTTGCACTTGTATCTCCTCTTCTAACTTGGATATATAGTTCCTACCACACTATGTTAAGAAGAGTTCCACTGAACCCATGAGCCAACTGACACGTTAGATCTAGGACGGTTTTTCATAATATTTGCTACCACAGTTATTAGTTAATTTCGTAAAATATTTTTTATACTAAAAAAATAACATTCCATATATAAATATTTGACGCAATTTATCACATGAATATTAACAAAATTCCTTTTAACTGTTTATAAGTTTCACAGCCATAATTCTAGAAACTATATGGTATTGTATAATGGTTTTTTATTCATTAAAATAGACAAATATCTCATCAAGATGAAGTTTTTATTGAAGTAAGTGGACAGTGAAGCTATTGTTTATCTACATAAAAGTCATCATTATAGTGTCATAGGCACCATGATTTGCATTGCTTGTACCAGACTTAAAAAAAATAGTCTAAAAAAGATTCTCGACTACAACTTTATTAGTATGTATATATGTGTGTGTATTCATCTTGATGAGTTATGGGAAAATATGTTAGATTTCTAATTTTATAACCCATACATTTCGAAGTACCCCCATTAAAATAAATAACCATCACCATGTATGAAGAATCAAAAAAATATTCTAGAACGTAGTGGACAAATGTTTTCGAGAGTTTTCTCAATATTTTACACTATCAGAATACCCCAGTTAGCCATACTTACTGTACCATTATAGTACTTATTATCACTTATAGTTATGTGAGGGATAACGAATTAATGCAGCTGTAAACCATACCAACCACATACATCACTGTCATAACTACAAGAAACAGTGTGTGATAGTGCATTTTTTTCTGCTAGAGCTGACTTCAAGGGGTATAATTTTCTACAGATTTCACCTACTTATATCATCGTCGTTAATGATAGGCGTCACCGGTGTATCTATCTTCAGTGAATGATCGTCACTTCCATCCAGTGAACCTAAATAGCTTAAGTAGATACCAAAACGCATTTTCCCTCCAAACTGTTCGGATATTGTCCTCAATGGTTCAGCTGTTTTCTCACCGGTCTGTTGGTCAATACACACCATCTGACATCTATTACATTGTCCCTCAACCTGAAATTAAAATATATTTTTAATATGTAGTTTTCTTGTTCCGAGAACAACAAAACTTTTTTGGAAATCCAGTAGTGTACCCGTTAAAAGGACGGAAGTAGGTTTGTAACAGGAAGGAGGGAGAGCGTCAATTGATTTGACCAATGAGCGCGGCTGAAGAGTATTATAAAGGTCGTTTGTTATTTTTTTAAATATTTGCAAAGGAGAAGACCTGCCGGCCTGACATGTGAGAGTCCCGGATCTTGATGGTTTAAAGATCGTATAAGATCTGGAATATATATGTAGTTCTTAAAATACGTATTACTATTTACAAAGTCTATCAGAAAAATCGAATTTAGTTGTTTTGCTTGCGAATTGAGTTCACGGCATTACTTATTATAGGAACAATATAATAAAAGTATATTTACCCTAAACTCCAGATTTCCAATAATTAATTTATGCCATTCTCTTTCGACTAGTTCATTTTCCATATCAATAATGATATTGCCTCTAAAACGATCAGTTAAATTTTCTAAATTATCAACAAATAGTGGGTCACGAATCTTGTCATGCAACCACCGCACGGTGGCCTTATTTATCAAAAGAAATTGGGCCTGGTTACTTAAAGAAAGCAGTGTTTTCTCTCCAGACATTTTCTTCTTTTGAACTCGATGATCGGCACTAGATTGTCTGATGAGTCGCAAATAAGAGACTTCTAAAGCTTCTGATATCCAGTTTGCGACGTCATCACCGCAATCGTAACCTTGAACAGTGTCGGTGCAGACTTTACTGTTACAAAGTGATGATTCTTTGAGTCGGTTTTGCGCTGAATCCAAAGGTATTGTGATTGGACTTTTACCTGAAATATTAGTCTTACATTTAGTTTTACATACGTGGGAACAATATTAATGTTAAATAGGTTTCAAAGTATGCTTCATTCCCTTGTACTTTAAATCGAGTGTGTATTTTGTGCAGTTGAAAAAGTACCATATTAACCAAATCCCTAATAAATTGGCATAGGTATAATACTTTAAACTTTAAGTTTATGGTTTGAGCACAGTTTCTTATGGTATGGGATTCTTGTTTTCCTCACGTTGCTAGTAACGTGAGGAAAACAAAAAATTCAGTAAGGCTAAATACTGTCTCTCTCACTCCCCAGACATTAAACAGCCTGTCTGGCTAGCTGTAGAGGTTGCGTTCATTAGTGCGCATCGTACCTGTACAGGTATATTTTTTTTCAAATTTCAAGGTTTTTTTTTAATTTTATTAATTTAACTTTTTGAAACTTAATATATTTAGGTCCGCTAGCCAGACATTCTGTTTAATGTCTGAAGGAGTGAGAGAGACAGTATAGTACAAATTAAGCTTTACTGAAATTCTCTCTCAGAAACGTTGCCAGCTCCTAGACTATTATCTCTTCTGTATAGTATTCATTATGTTGACACGTTTATTTAGCTGTTATGGGACGAAAAAGTATAAATTTCATTATTGCATTTTTTTTACTCAAAATGCCTTAAAAGTTAATTTTAGATTCAAGCAAACCGTATAAAGACTTGCCTTGAATAGAAAGTTAAGAAGACGTTTGGCTTAGCCGACGGCCTAATGTTTTTTTAAATATTACAAGTACTTAGATATCATTTACTTGGCGCCATTTGTCCTTACTATTTATTTATATATTTCAACATCTCATGGTATGGCGAAGCCAATATTCATTATTTCTTTATTTACCTACCTTTAAAATGCAAGGTCATAGTTCTTTGTTTTAGGTCTATTTTTGGACGTATCATACACATTCTCGAATTATGTTTCTGTGTTAAACACACACCAGTATCTTTAATTATCATCCATTCTCTGTCATATTCAAAACCTTTAGGTCCAATTTTCCATGCAAAACGAATTTTAAATGCCCCACACGATTTAATTGGAAATATTGCTGCTTCCTTCACGACAATCTTTGATTGTAATTGTGCATATTCCTGTTCTTCGTTTAAATTATTAATGAGTTCATCTTCGCTACTTAGAATTTTGTGTAAATTCGAAAGACTGGTCATAAGTTTACTTGACTTTATAGAATCTAATAAAGTGAATTTATTATTTTGTACGCGTTTTGATCTTCTATAGTTGCCTTTAACAAAGCATCGGCATATCATGGTGATTAGTTTGTCAACGTCGTGGAAAGAGTTGAAGTATCCGAATGACACTCTTATTGCTCCAGTGGGTCTTCCATTAATAAGGTCTATTTCGTCGCCACATACATGTCCCGCTTTGTACATTTCTTTCATTTCCTTGTTAGTAGACATGAGGTGACGTTGGCAGGAACCAGAGTTGCAAAAGCATCCGGTTCGAACACTGATGTTGAATAGATCGGCCATGTGTTGAAACTGCAAAAAAAAAATTGAATCTATGTTATATATATATGAATATAATACATTAATATATGTATATTTAATAATAGTTAGTATGTGTTGTGGCAGAGGCCTCAGTATTTCAACTTAATAACTACAGAAATGGAATTCATTGTCGTCATGTAATTATTGAATAAGTATAAGCAGCTCGGTACTAAGCCAAACAGCCAAACACGGTCAAACACACATTCCACCAAATTAATTTCACTAAAACGAAATTTCAGTATACTACGTTTAATGTTCATACGTAACTTTCCTTCAACTCAACGTATGCAAGAGAACAAAAACATCTAATTATATCGCGTCCCTCAATTAGAACCGAAGATACAGAGAATGAGAGCTTAAGAAACAGAAAAACAAAAACGGAAACTTGTGTTGGTTGGAGTTGGCGTTAGAGTATAATTTGCAATGAGTGAAGTTATGGCTGTAAATTTCTTTATGGCAATCCGATATCTAAAAATTCAGTTGCATAGAACACGTCATGATCATTTTTGTTAGTAGTTTATAAAAACATACTAGTGACGAAATTTTTTTGACATAGATAAAGTTAATTCATAATTTTTAGCAAAACCTTCCTACTGCTAATAGTGGCGTTAATAAATAATACCTATTTCAACTGCCTTTTTGTTAGAACTGTTGCCACAGCAACTTATATCTACTGAGAGTAATGGATGAGAACATGAACAGCTCACTGAGTATTATTTTGAGTTAAAATATTGTAGATATCAATGTTGAAAAAGAATGGAAACAGGTAATCATACAGTTAAAATATATTATATTGTGCAACATTGTGTCATAGCGATAGATGAATGCAGTTTGAAAATCATTAAAATTTGATAGTTAAAATTGATAGCTGGTTTGTTATTTGATTATTTAAAAGGAAAAGTTTGGTGTTTAAAAACAGAACCGGTTTAAAATATATCATATTGTGCTAACATAGGTAATTAAGTAATCTAGCAACTGGTACATGTAGCAAAGATATTTATTGTCTATACCTAAACGTATTAAAAACGACTTTTGTAAGATTAAAAATAGTAAGATAGGATTTTCGACCTTATTGACATCTGACTTAGAACATTGGAGTATTCAACCTATAATATGAAAGTCAGTGCACATCCAATATTTAATGATAGTCTATTAATTATATATATATATATATATATATATATATTAATAACAGAAAGCTCCTTTTATAAGTAGGTATTCTAAAACCACAAAACGTTGATTGTATACTGATACTGATTTTTAATGATATTTTATTTTTACAGTACTTGAATATTAACTGTAATTTTGATTTGGTTTATTTCCTTTAATTACCACTTCGCTGTTCTTTTTACAATTCTATTCAGTGTATTTTATTGTGTCTCCTTTTATGACATTTGTGAGATCGGGACTGAATTTTTGAAAAAAAAATATATCACGGTAAATGACCTTTCCGATCAGTTAAAATATTTATTGTAGATATTAAAGTTGAGAAATAGTTAACAGGTTATCATCATTATATCATATCAACAGCCTTTAATAGTCCGCTGCTGGACATAGGCCTCTCCTCAGAAAGGAGGTTGTGGCCTACTATACCATGCTGGCCAGACAGGTTGGTATAGAGTTTGAGTCAAGTTTTCTCTTTGCAGTGCTGTTATCGTGCGTAGTTTACTCCCTTAGTGTGATGACGGATTAAGAATACGGCGTGTCACCACCCCTATTAATCCCATGGGTGTCGTAAGAGACGACTAAGGGAGTAAACAGGTTCTCATGCAGTGATAATATTTTATGTAACATTGTGACATACATATATGTGTGTGCTACATAATTACTAATTGAGGAAAGGTGATCATGAACTCAGTAATATATAGTAGTTAAAAGTGATAATTGTTTCACCTAATTGATTAATTGAAAGGGAAAGTTTTCTTTAAAATATAAACAAATCATTATGTTGAAGTAAGATTGACTAATTAGTAGTTAGCAGTGGTAAGTATGTATGCATTGCAAAGGTATTGTGTACGTTCTCAGTTCGCTTTATATGGATGTACAGAAGTGTGTTATCATTTTAATGCTATCGTACATCTGAACAAATTGAAATATCTTTCAAACATATGTTTGTAATTGCGATAAGTAGAGTAATTGGATTTTTAACCTAATTGACATCTCGTTAAAATTGGATTTTAATTAATGATATGTTTAATGAGATGTACCTCTCAACAAAGTGTCAACGAAAGTAAAAAAATAGTAAGTATTTATTGTATCTCAAAAAGTTATCTGTACTAGGTTCGTAAATGAGTAGCTATAGCGCAAGTAACCTAGGAAATGACAAACTTCTATACAACCGTTCATACTTTATTTTACCCCCTTATTGGTTAAATTTCCAAAAACCTTTTTTGAGTGGGTACTAACGATACCTAAATCATCAGCTGTCAAAATTTGTGGCCTCAGCGGTGTACGCTCTGATTTGATAAATCAGATAATTTATGTGAATAGAACTATAGATTAAGGAAGCCCCTAGTTATTAGGTTCTGGGTGATTCTTCGTTGTGTTTAAATGATCACCTTATCTGATCTAATCTTATCATTATTATGCAACGGTTTGAAACAAAATTATCGTCTGTCGCCACGATGCATCAAACAATCAAAACAGTATATCAGCGCCTCTAAAAGTCGAAAATTCAACAATTATACAATCACTGATTAAATAGTGATGCGTTTGGCTATTATTAACATAATCAAACGGTGATTATTCTTGTATATAACTGTGATTAACCTGGTCCGACAACATCCTGATGTGAAATAAGAAATTTTCGCGAATAGGTCGACCATTTCGCGATTATTTCGTATTATTAAATGATCAGTGTCTCATGAATTCTTAAAACATAGAAAAATTTGAGACCTATAAAGGTTGGAAATTAAATCCCTCATCGCAACCTCACTCAGGACAAATGGGTAATTGTGTCATGAGCCTGATCATTTCTTCAGGGTATGGGTGTAAATATGTATTTAGAAATATATAAATATATTTTTTATCAGCCGTGGGATTATGGTAGTACAAAAGGTATAGTTCGAGGTTATTTTACATGAACGCGATCGTCAACGATCGACTGGTGAAGAGTTCAGTGTGGGCCAATCGCAACACCCTGCACTAGACCCCCTGGATCTGCCTAGTTTGAGATCTGACGGTTATGTTAGGAGTGTCACAAGTGATTAAACGTCACAAGTGTTAAAAGTTAAAGCGTATATATATTTCGTGCAAAGTTATGATAAATATTTTTTCTTACCTCTGCATAGCCAACATATGATTTATCGTCCCTAAGAATGTTGAAAGTAACTATGCCTCCCTGTTTCTTGATATCAGAAAAATCGGAATCCATGTAAAGAACTGCCGCTTTATTCCCATTACTGTGGCGTAACTCCTGGAGCTGATGAAACAGATCTTTGGCCAGAGAAAATGTGTGGTAAGAAATGGTGTCCATCATATTGGCATGCCTTGTTCTTGGTATTAATTTTTGCATAGTATCAAAACAATGCTTCAAAGCAATAATTGATAGAAAAGATACAGTGCCATCTTCGAAACTGTAAAAAAAACATTTTAAATTAACCTCTGTATATCTATATATATATGTATATCTATTTTCTTTTTTTTTCCATTCCGTTAATAAACACTTTTTTCGTATTTTTGACCGACTTCAAAAATAGGAGGAGGCTCTTATTTCGATTTTTTTGCTTGTGTCCTTATAACACTGTCACTAATAAATTAAAAAAAAGGAAAAAACGAACCATTATAGGATCACAACTATATACCATAGTCTACAGGCCCTTGAAGCTGGGCAAAATAAAACTTTTACGTTAACGGAACAAAGGGTTGGCCAAATCTATGCAAAAAAAACGCATATTTGACACTCAACTGAATCAAAATTTATAGGGTACCTACTTCCGTTGACCTAGACCCATGAAATTTGGCAAGTAACGTCGTCTAATACTTACTACAAGTGAAGGGAAAAATTTGAAAACATTAGATTTGTAAATAAATCATAAAAATTTAGTATTTATTTAAAGATGTTATCACGTATCGAGGTACAGTTTCACTTATAAAACAAAATAATGTAAGTAATCATAGTTTTTGGAAACTGAAATTCGGGAAAAGCTAGGCAAAAACTGTGAGACTCAATTTCTAATTTATAATATGTAACTACAAATTTGTATGCAAATCTCGGTGAGCGATTCCGACTCGCACTTGTCCGGTTCTTTTTTCTTTTAGGGTTGCTAATTCATTTTTAGACTTCGTCTCTTTGTTCGCGTGTTTCTTTGTTTTCTCACAAGGATGAAACAAATATCCAGTATCTCAATTCTCTCACAGTGGTGTAAATGATTTTGCAACGTCAGGTTCTTCTCTGTTTTAGCGCAAACGACGTAAGTTCGATGATCGGACTTGCATTATTTACGCTAAAACAGAGAATAAACAACAGAGATTTTGTTTTAATATCTATCATACAACAATGTAGTTTGTACTTAGTAGTAATGTACCTACAAATCACGTACAACAACAATACCGAGACTTAAATTTAATTATTGTTATTATTTTAAGCTAATTATATTTAATGATTGATTCCTTAAAATGATATTAAAAAGACTTATTGAGAGAAAAATATGATGTACTTAACACAATTTATTAATTAACGAATTTTAATTCTGTGTTGTGCTGCTTAGTAACAGCTGATCAAACTACCAAATTGTATTGTTTCAATAAAATATTCTTAAAATGTGTGAATTCATTATGTACCTACATCTTTTATAATTTACATTTGTACATAAACTCACGTTTTTAACCCGTCACTCACTTGTTTCTATCCTGACACGCTTCATCCATTGCACATCCATCACGTGCTTCCTCTACTGTCGTTATACCTTTTATGCAAACCTGCCGTGTAGTTGTAACATGCCCTAACTTCAGTATTCTTACCAGTCATACCACTATTGTTGGCCTTATTTCTTTCTTTCGTTCATTCCACACTTATTCTTTCTATGTGCTCATCTTACAGAGTCCTTAATCCAGAACTATTGTGTTGTGAGTATCATATCATATTATTTCAATAACTATAAAATAATTAAAGAATATAATTACCGTTCACATAGATTAGCTTTTTTCATATGGTAATCTTCTGAGCTTAAAACAATGTCCACAGTTCCACCTCCAAAATGCTTTTTTTGTGATAAAACATCTTGACTACTGTTTTTAACTAAAAGTGCACCCAATCCTGTAGGGTAACCAAATATTTTGTAAAATGATAAACAGACAAAGTCTGGTTGAGTTTTAGACAAATCCAGTTTACTTGTTGACACAAATGATGCTGCATCTAACAACACATACCAGTTATTGTTAATTTGGCACAAATTTTTTTTAAGGGTACTTATTAAACCTCCATTCTTTATATTATCTATGGCATCAATTGGATATTTATAACCATTAAAATTGCTCTGCGCTGGGTAAACAAATAAAGTATTGGGTCCATTGTTACTTTTATATTTATCTTTCCATGATGTTTTATGTTTCTGATATGTGTTCATAGCTGTTAAAAATTCATCATGGCCTATGTGTATCACGTCAGCATTCTTATCAGAAGCTAGTTCTCTTAATCCTAATACTGATGTGTGATTGTCTCTTAAATAAACGAATGCACCATTGTTTCTTTCATTATGTGGGTCCGAGATCGATGAAAATCTAAAAGCTTCTAGAATAAGTTTTAAAGAATGTGTTGTTCCTGAAGTAAATATCACTGTGTAATTTGATGGATCTGTGTTGAAGTGCCTTAAAATCATACATCTAATTTGCTCTATACAGTCTTTTGTATATTTATCTGAGTGAGGGTTCATGTAGACATTGCTCATGAGGTCTTCATTCACATTCACAAGTAAACTTTGTGGATATAATGTAGCCCCAGCATTTTCTAAATAACATCGATCTGGAAATGAAAAACTCTTTTTAATTATATCATATTGGTTTAAATACGAATTTGTGTATTTTTACAATGAAACCATTTAATTTGCTGATTACTTAAGCAATTTTTTTTAGTAACCACATAAACTTATATAAAAGTAACTTTATTTTTATCTAATTGTATGTATTTACAAAATTAGGAGTCGGTCATAGTTTTTAAATTTCTGTATAAATAAAAATATAGAAGCTAGTATAACAAGCACATATTCGAAGGACAGTGAAACCTGAATACTGCTTTACAGCTATAATTATGTAATTTAACTCAGTACATCGTAACACACAACAGTATGTATTTTTACCTCAGTACATTTTAACAGCAGGGCAATTATAAGAGTGTAATTTACGATGAAAATGAGCGATATGATAATCGCACATGCAGGTACTAAAATAAGTGAATTTATTACCTCCCAGTCTTTTGAAATTTGATGTTATTTTGAGCATATGTTCGTCATCAATAACTTGACTGAAAGCGCTCATCTCGATGGGATCTTCATAGGCACCTGACACGATTAAATTAACTATATTATTATAAGAAAAGTAAAAAACAAAGTAAATTAAATTTAATGAAAGTGAATGTATCAAAATTATTATACAATTATTGAATAAATGTAGTATTTTAAGATGACGAAATTTAATTACATCTTTCATATAACCTTGTATATAATTGTATTGATAAACAAATGATCGCAATAATATTATTTTGTACAACAAAAACACTACGCACACTCATGCATACAATGCGCATTGATGGATACTGATAGTGATAGTGACTGATATGTCAATGTCAATTTGTACGTTCAGAAGTTTTGACGATTAATGGGCTGGTCTTGCCAGAACTTTAAAAGTTAAAAAAAATTGTAAGGATTCGATGACTTTGTTATACGAGTATTTGATATTTTTATAAAATAATCAACAAACATTTTGCGTTTGTTTGATGTTCATCACTTTTTCCTTATACTTTCAGAATGTCATTTGTAAATGTAAATAGTGTTGGTGTTAAGTTTCAAAAAAGTTGAAAGGTCGAGCAAAATATATGGCGACTGTGACTATCCTGCAAATCTGTATTTTTTTTCATCTGTTAATTCCTTTGTACAAATTGACAATGTCAATTGTACTCAATATTGTCCTTCTAGTGGATTATCCACTAAAACTGATGGTTTCGATTTTGACCCCCTGTTAGATGCAAAATATTGCTTTTAGTGGCTAGTAGATTTTGCTAGTGGTTTGGTAGTAATAGTAAGATTATAGAGGACTTCAGAGATGATATTAGGACGTTAACTATCGTCCTACGCCTAACGTCATCACATCCAATTACATTAGAACAGACATCTTTTTATTGTCCCAAAAGACTAGTGATATAGTTCCAGGTCCGACCCTTGGTTTGATGATCCAGTTGATTAGCAGAAGACAAATGAAAATTGAAGTCATTCTAATCAATAGTCGTTAGAAATACGGCCTGTTGTTGCCCATCGTGTTAGGAAACTTTCACATATTGGAAGTATTCACTTTAAAGATGCCCAAGAGAATTTGAAATTTGAGGAAATATTCCAATCCTGATGATGAGAGACTATAAAGCAGTAAAAATGCAATAAAAACAAGTATAGCAATAAAATGAAGTTAAATCTTTTATCTGCCATGTTAAGAATACGCTGTGGTTTGACGTTGGAAGGAAAATGATGCAACGAATATTAAATTCCAATAAACGTTGTAAAACAAATAGGTACCAAAGATTCGTATTAATCAGAAGCCGATGATGATAGTGTAAACAGAAAGGATTCATCAGAAGAAAACGAGTTAGTTTAAAATAAGTAACTGTTGTTATTAATTATTTTTTTCTGATCTTGACTTGTTGATTAGCTATTTGTTTGTTGATTTATAGATTGTTAGTATTACATAGTACCAAATAATAATAAAGGAAACTAACTGTTAATATACTTATTGTTTTCTTTCGTAATAACTAAAACAAAATTTGTGGAGAACTTAGCAATTATTAGAGTAGGGCTGTTTTTCGTTAGTGGTTTTAGATGTTGAATCTGGTGGAGAGTTAACTGTTGGCAACACTGATTGCACTAAATTTCCCGCCTAATTTGAACTTTGATTGCATTACTTTGTAAAATTTGTTATACGAGTATTATCGGCTGTTTAATAGTTATTAGCAAATCCTTTTTTTATCTTAAAACTTTTGTAAATTTCATAAAACTAGTGAAGCGTATCGTAATAAATATAGGCGAAGTAAAAGGAGAAAGGGGCCGATTATTTCAGTGTCCTTAACAAAGAAAGGTTAGTAAAATTTTCTTATATTTGCTAAAAAATACCTTTAATGGCTTATTATTAAGTACACATAACAATTCGTTTCACTGTTAATTTTAAAGTAGTTAATGATATAAACAAAGAAAAAAATATACGTCGCGAGATGTAAATATGGCAGATGTATAACATCGAAATTATTTTGTAGAAATAATGAGTATAAAAGGAAGGATAGCTTATGAAAGGAAGCAATAAATATTCGTATAAGAATTAATATTTGTTATACAATACACAAAAAATAAAAACATACCTAGGTACAAAATAAATAATTTCGATGCTTTACATTTGTTAAGCGTCCCGCGACGCGATTTTTAACACGTTTTATTAGTTTGGTATGTATGTATCTATGTATGTACATATGTAACGGAATCTTCGAACGTGAAAATGATCCACTTCAAAACGTCGAATTAAATTGAAATTTCGATCATTTGATAAATTTGGTCGATTATCCGGATCTTCAGGATTAACGGCTTTTTTCATGCCTTATGCCTTTTTCATACGGTAGTGTCTTGCTACGTAGGTACTAAGAGACATGGACTTTTTTAGTCTTAATGAGAAAATAATCATCATTGACTAAAAAAGCAAACGTAAATTATAGTTTAAAAAACTAAAAAACATGCTTTTGTAAATAGTTTTCTATAACTGCAAAAAGAAAAATCATTTTATCGTTAAAAAGCGACCCGCAGGTATAAGCTAGTAAAAAATAAACTAAAATACCTATACTCAATGTATTTTCTATTTAGAGTGCCAGTAGGCGATGATGCGCAGGAATTTTTTGATGCTTGTATGTAAATGTTGTAAACATTTTAATTGCATAATAATTTATTTCTTTTTTTAGTGTCTAATTCCCTTCAAATATGCTTATTTCATCGGAATATTTCATATCATTTAATTTAAGTGTTTGTTTTTATGTAAATTTTATCTTATTTCCTCGGTATAAAATAGTTAAAACCAATGGCACTGCACTACGCTCACGTACATCAGTATCTAGGTAAGTTCACCTTCGACAGCATCGCCTTACTAAATTGTGTTACACCAATTTAATTATTGCTTTTATGGAGGGCTTTTAGTAGCTTTTAGTAGCAAGTGACGTCATGATCGACTCCCCCTAAGTGAATTGACGTCCACAACAGAGAACATTCACTTTACTGCTTTGTACAATTTTCTCTTTAAGACTATATACCCTAATGCTTTTGTGAAGTAAACTTTATTTGCTATTGAATAAGATTTTTTTTCCAATTGAGTATTTTAGGTCAATTTCTATACAATTGATGTCTTTGAGTGATTAGGTACGTAGCTGCAGGAATACCGAATATATTATAGTATTAATGAACTAGACCTGGGCCTCAATTCTGCTATTACGCCAAGCCAGTGTCATACCACTGACACGCTATTGAGATGCCATCGAGTAGCCATTGGCATCGGTATAAATATCGGTAGTTGAAAATATATTACGTTTTTTGAGGAAATGATTTATTTGTTTTTATTATAATAAATTATAAAAAGAAATAAATAAATTAAAATAACTTTAAAAAAATAAAATAAAAAATCTCTCGATGGCATCTCAATAGCGTGTCAGTGGTATGACACTGCCTTCTCGTAAACATAAAATAGCAGAATTGAGGCCCTGGTAAATGTGAGAAAAACTATCATACCACATAATAACACAAGTACAGATGTTTTACTTTGCACAATCGTGTAAATAAATAGCTGCTTTAAAACGCAGCAATAAAGTGTAAATTTATCTGCATATTATTTTTCTTCGTACTATATTAATTACCCAGGTATTATCATGGGAGCAGGTGAGAGATTTGTGATTATTATGATTATAATTAGTGATGTTGAATGTTGGCCGAAACTGGTGAAAGAGATATTCGTGTGTGTGATTATCAATCATGTGAAGGAAGGAGTGCATGTAAATTATGCAGGTATGTGGATAATCGCAACGTTGAACAACCTGGAACGATGGACTGAACTGGTGCGTATTAGAACGCAAGAAGACGAGAAATTAATGCCTGTACACTATACACTAAATAAAAATAACTGTACAGTAATATGACCAAATTTTTATAGTTATAGGCTTATTGAAAATTAATTTAGATTTAAAATATTTTGATTTTTTTATGTCTTCACATATGTCTTCGCATACTAACAACGCGACCACCAAAGAAAGGAGATTTGCGATTTAAAAAGTATACTTAGTTAAAGTTTTTATTTAACAATGGATTTATAGAAGCTACTATTTTAAACCATAATGCAGATTGAATCGTGATTATTATAAGCATATAAGCAAATATGAACATATGTAGATCAAAATGAAATTATATGGTTGTCCCCACCGGTTTCAGGAATGGAATAAGACGGTTACAAGAATAAGAGCGTAGTGAAAAATTATGTTTTATGAGACTAATAGGAAAAAAAATATTTTTGGTATTTCATCAACGGCCACTACTAGTCCACTGCTGGACATAGGCCTCTCCTTAGAAAGGAGGTTTTGGCCTACTATACCACGCTGGCCAGACGGGTTGGTATAGGGTTTTTTTTTAGGGTTTGGTATTTAATTAAAGGTAATGTTAGTATTTCATATTTAAGTGTTAATAAGTTACATACTACAAAATTTTGGTTTGAATGTGTTAGGTCTTTTGGTTAGTTTTTATTTGTTTTTACTTGACGTATTATGCTTACTTGAGGAATGTCGGTTGTGTTGGACACTAAGGTCTGTTTTGAATACCAAGGCGAACATTGTAGAGACACCTCAATCACAGTGATTAGCGGCTTGTGCTTCAGCCGGTGGTTCGAGATGACCTTGGTCGACCGTTTTCCTTTTGTTTGATGCTAGCCGTCACTTACCGTTCACCTGGTTTAGTGTTTTGTTAATTTAAGTGCGTGTTTTTAAATATTCAAAATACGGAACCATATCCAACAGATGTTAGACGAACAAACAATAAGTAGGCCAGTGATAAGCTCTTAAATTTTAGTCTATAGTAAAAATAATAATCTAAAATGAATATGTGGAAAATCAAAATATGTGAAAAACTTTGGTTAATTTTAAGGGTCTCTTTGAAAAGAACTTCTTATTTCCCCGTATTAACTCTACAAGAACACAAAGGTAGGATAGGGTTAGTCATAATTCACGAGTCATGTTTCTAGGCTTTAACATAAAATAATGATATATGCGTCCAACCCACAATCTTCGATATGAAAGGATGCATATGATAGTGTCTGTCCTAGTGTGATTGGACTAAAACGAGAATATTTATCGTGCGCAGTTAAGAAAGCCTTTACACACTAGGAGAAAACTATGTTGCGATGATGTATAGTCATGTTCGTTCCTGTTTACACCAGGTAAAACTAGACAGACACAAAAATATTTATGGTCGTCGTAAGGCCCCTAGACACTCGGAGAGAAGACCCTTACACTCT